TTGTCAAGCCCCAGGCAGGCACCCTTCCTTTGCAGGGCTACACTTCTCAGCCATAAGGGGCAGGATGACTCTGGAAACAGAAATATTCACAAAACAAGATAGCCTTGCAGAACTTCTCAGAACTTGGACTTCTGAGTAGGAAAGGTTCGGGGAGTTAGGGTATCTGAGTAAAGTGGGAAAAATGAAATAATTAAAACAGGATGATGAGTAGAAACTTACTTTGATATACCAAATCATAAATTGTAGACGAGAACCAAAATCTGGTTGTCCTTGTGATATTGCACATCAATAAGCCAGGACTGCTTTGTGATATTCTGTACAAACTACACCTGATTTGTCTCTCCTTGCCCTGAATTTTTCAGCTCAAAGAGAGACTGCAGATTTGATAAGCAGGAAAACTACAAGAAAAAGCTAGATCAAGACAAAATATATATGCTGCCTGGTCAGATGATGGTAAGAGTAGATGTAGGAGCCTGAGGCCATTCAGAACATTGCAGAAACACTGCAGAAAAGAGCCAGTGGCCATGCCACTGCACTGGTGGCAGCTTTGAAGAGATCAGCTTGCTGTAGCAGATTTCTTCTATGCAGTGAGTACCAGCAGTACAAAATGCATGGATGTACATTTTTCACAAACCCATTTTCGATCACTGTGTTTTTGTGCATCTCCCTCTAAGCCCTTGCATAGTTTGAGCTGCACATCCTCCTCACATACCACACTCCCCCAAAAGATTAGCCGTGCTTATCTCGTGTGTGCCTGGGGAGCATGCGCCGCCTGGCCGAGGGAGTTCTTGGCCAGCCCATAGTCATTTTTCTGGGTCCTCCTTAAAAGCAATTAGCAGCTTCCCCCTTTAACTTCAGAGGGCAAATTCAATCACAGAATAACTTTCCTGCAGTCTGCACAATTAGCAGGAATGCGTTTGACCCCGGCTTCACCTTTTCCGAAATGCAGTTCCTGGTACAAAGTGTTGCAGGGCTCTTGAGAGTGACATGTTATGAGTAACTGGATGTCAGGATCATTGTGGGAAAACAAACAAATCCCCAAATAACTGGAAAGTCCTGAACCAGAAACTGGCATAATAAAGGTAGAAATAATTGCTATCTTCTCCTTGTTACTTCTCCTTTCTCATAATAAAATACCAGTGCAATGTACCACAGCCCTCACCCCAAACATGTTCCGTTACCTATCAGGTCTTGTCACAGCCAAAAGTTGGGGTTTGATGGCTGCTACATTGTGGAAATGTAAATACCTACTTTCACAGAGGCAATGACTGAAGCACGTCTCAGTGCCATGAAGAAAGCAAACCTTTTCATTCATATTTTTCTTATGCAGCTTGATATTTAATTATTTTTTCCTGAGGAAACAACAACAACAATCTTACACAGCAGGCTTACACTGCTCCTCTATTCATGTTTGGAAAAGAACCATCTATCTTAGAGCTAGGAAGCTGGGATTCCTCAGTCAGAAGGAAAAGCCTGGACACCCAACAGGCCAGCAATGCCAGCATGTGGCACCCCCAGTCTCAGCTGTAGGGTACCTGAGCACAATATTCTTATTTCTTGAGAAATACCACACGCACTGCCCTGCCCCTTCCATGATGTATGTACCTCTCTTTTCCATGTCATACATGGTCTAATCCTTTTCCTTGAGTATCATTTGCACAGTAATCCTTTTCCTTCTGTGACAAAAGAACAGAACTCCCTTTCCTCCACTGACACTTGTAGAACAATCCCTTACTTCTAGCAGCATGCAGGCAGAAATTCTTTATCTTGGCAAACACAAAATGAGCATCTCTAGCTGGCCTCCAATATGTTTAACAATGCAGCCCTTATGTTAATTTCACAAAGAACACACCACAGTCCTTTTATTCCCAATTTATCCAAACACTTTCATCTGACCACTGCAGAGTATGAAATGCAGTAGTGAAAAATGCAAGGTATACAGCCCAAAATTTTAAATCTGTTTTAAAAACTTCAACTTTTCAACTGCTTAAAGAGAGAGACAAAACAAGTATATACAGGAGGAAGATAGAAAAATTAGGCTGTAACTCAGAACTTGAACCCAAACTCAGCCTTTTAAATTACTCTGGCTTGGGTACTTTACACGTGAAAGATTTGTTTTTTTTTTTTTTTAAGCTAAAAAATGTTTTGGCTCAACACACACTCCCACCCCACTTGCATCAGACCAGTTACCAAAGCAAATCAGAGTGAGAAGATAAGAGAGCAGTGACCAGGACTGCCAGTGTCATCAACTGAATAAGAAATGTAGCCTGCTTTACCCTGAGCCCTATCCAGACTCAAACAGATACCTGCTTAACCAGGGCTTAACAGGAAGCCCTGCCTGTGGCTGATCCCCTGGGAAGCTGCAGAAAGACAGGAATCTGATGAGGGGTAGGAATCAGCCCCCTAATTTGATATCCCCTGTACACAGCAGCATTGCATTAGTGATGATTTGGATTTAAAGTGATTCTGTTTATTTCTTTTGGATTCCTATTTCCACCCTGCTGCACAGCATGCTTTCAGAACAGGGCTCAATTAAATAAATGCTAAGCATGACCTTTTACAGGACCCCTGGTTTAGACCCATTGATTCCCATGGGGTGTGCTTGCTCTTGGAGGGCTACATGTCTGCCAGGCTTGGTTTGGCACTGCAGCCAAACTGCACTGAGGTGCAGATTTCCTGTGTTTGCTCCCAGAGTTGTGCTTGGTGCCTTTAGCTCCTGACTGGTACAGCCACAAGGGCTGCTGAATGAAATTCCGGGTGGAAAACCACCACTGCATTTCCTGCACAAAGATAACAATGATGGTAATTGTATCACTTTAGCATTTCTTGCCTGTGTTTATGAACAAATCGTGTGAGCCAATGAGAACAGCAGCTTCTTCCCTTCAAATTAGTCTGTGTTTTGGAATAGCAGGGTGGATAGGATAAGACTTTTAGTTTGCTATATTTTCTTCTGCATTGTTTCAGTGGTGCATTACACATTCACCACAATTCTTCACCTCTACTGTCACTTTTATGGCAGTGTTTTCCTTTTCCTCCTCTTCAGTCATGGGCATGCTAATCTTTTGTGTCACAAGCAGCACAACCCCTCCTTTATATGGGTCTCCTCCTGCCTCTGCACAGTCCCGAATTATACAGTCAAAAGAAAAAATAATTTCCCCTGCAGAATGTAAAACATTGCAATTTTTACCATTGTTTTTTTAAATTTCCATTACTACTAAATCCTGTCTGGATTGAATAATTAAGCAGCTATTTATGTCATGGGTTTCAATGCTGAATGTAACCCATTAACCCTGCAGGAGCAAGGTCCTTGAATTCTGAATAATTCTGGGACTAAGCTGTGATGAATCAGGACTGAAATAAGAGTCATGCATCTCTAAAAAAATCTGGAGCGTGTTCTTGGCACTCAAGGCTTTTTCTGTGTTGCAAGCAGTTTCTGCTCTTCCTTTTCTTTTTCTTCCCTCATTCAACTGACTGTCATGGGAAATGCAGAAAACCTCTATTTAGAAAAAGTGTTTGTAATAGTTCATTCTGTTATTTTCTTATTTTTCCCTCTGAAATATTTGTATGTAAAGAGCACCTTACCATTCTTTGAGGCTCATCTGTTCAAATTGCTTATTCTGTGCTTGGAATTGTCATAAATCTCACTCTGGTCTCATTTTTCCCTTCAGATAGAGCCTTATTAGCTGTAACTAGTCTTGGACATGCTGATACAGCATGGTTGGGTGAGCACAATCAGTAGCAGCGTTCCTGGCACCAGTATGAGTGTGCTGGCCTGTCTACCTAGCAAGCTATGGGGCCAAACTGTAAACTAAAGGTGAGCAGCTCTCTCCCAATACATCAGCTGCTGCTGGAAGTGAGTGAATGTTTTCTACATAACACAGTCCCTTTCAGGATCTCTTCTGTAACACAAGACTTGGGAGGCAGAATGGCAGCTCCACTCACAGATGCACAGCTCTGCAAAATAATTTTTTGAAAAGTACCTCTGGGCATACACAATGCCCTCCCCAGATAAAGATTCATAGTATCATATCATGGTTGGAAGAGATCCACGAGGATCCTTTAAGTCTATTTCCAGGCCTTGGACAGAATTACCCCCAAGAGCCACCCTGTGCCTGAGAGCTTTGTCCAAGCCCTGCCTGAGCTCTGTCAGGCTGGTGCTGTGACCTCTGCCCTGGGGAGCTGCTCCAGCCACCCTCTGGTGAAAAACCATTTCCTGATATCCAACCTAAACCTCCCCACTCAGCTTCAGGCCATTCCCTTGGGCCCTGTCACTGTCACCACAGAGCAGAGATCAGTGCCTGCCCCTCCTCTTCCCTCCACAAGGAAGTTGTGCCTGCAGTGAGGTCTGTCCTCAGTCTCCTCTTGTCCAGGCTGAACTGACCAAGGGACCTGAGCCTTTTCTCATTTGGCTTCCTCCAAGCCCTTCACCATCCTCGTGTCCTCCTTTGGACTCTCTCTAACAGCTCAATCTCTTTTTTATGTTTTGGTCCCCAAAACTGTCCCCAGAGCTTGAAGTGAGACCACCCCAGAGCAGAGCAGAGTGGGACAATGCCCTCCCTTGCCTGGCTGGCCATGCTGTCCCTGGTGGCCTCCAGGACAGGGTTGGCCCTCCTGGCTGCCAGGGCACTGCTGACTCACACTCAGCTGGGCATCGACCAGGAGCCCCAGGTCTCTTTTCTCCGGGCTTCTCTCCAGCCTCTCATTCCCCACTCTATACACACATCCAGGGCTGCTCTGTCCCAGGTAGAGAATCCAGAGCTTGTCTGGTCTGCTGTATAAAAGCAGCCTTACAACTATTTTGCCCCATAATTTCTGTATCAGCACCAACCACTTCTAAACAGACTGTCCCTTTCTGAGAGACAAGCAGCTCTGATTCAAAGACTCTGATGGAGAACTTTCCCATATTTGTGATCAATTACAAAGTTTAGGTAATTGACTGCTTGCTTGTTCTTATGGCTACAAAACACTTATCAGCCCTGTGTATTGGCACAAACCTCATGTGTAGTCAGCAATGTGAAAAGGGCTTCTTGCCTGAGGAAGGGTGGTGCGAGCAACCTTGTGCTGGGCCTGTTAACTCAGGAAATGCAGGCTGTCAGGTTCCAAGGCAGGACTCAGTCTGGGATCTCTGCTGGTCAGGATTGGCACCACCATTTCAAACATGTACAAACTGAGAAAAGTAGATATAGCATTAGAAGAAAATGTTGTGAAAAAATTCATGAGTATATTCAGATATCTCAAAATATATTCTCAGTCCAAATACCAGACTGAACAAACAAAACTTGATACAATCCATTAACATTAGTAATGCAGTTGAAGAAGTAATCACCATCATTTAATGATTGGTTGTGAGATATTTCAGAATAGAGTACACTAGTAGTGAGCTTTGGTTTTATCACAGGAACATAGTAACTGCTAGGGACAAAATTCTAAGGAGGGGCAAAGCACAAAAATGAAACCACTGCTTTTCAGACCATAAAGAATCTTAAGTTTTCTTATAGTAAGTTAACACTTTTCAGAGCAGCATGGAACCAGAACCTGATGATGGATGCAGGATTGAGGGCTGGCTAAGGGAATGTGTGAGCATCAACAAAGGGGAGGGACCTTTGTTTCTTGAAGAAAATTTGACATTATAAGTAATAAAGAGATAAGTTGCCCATGATACCTAACATGAAACATGATGAGCATGCTAGTGAAGTTTAGACATCTTTGCAGTATCCAGAAGTATCCTTTTCCCTTTGTCTTCCTCTTTCTTCTTCATTACCTCATTTTTTCTCCCTGAGCAAGAAACAATAATTTAATTCTGAATAATATGCAGAAAGTCTCCTACAATTAATGGTTAACTTACAGTCAAATAATTTATGAGCCACAGCTTTGGCTTAACGGAATGGCTTCTGTGCAGCTTCAGCTTTGCTTTATGGACCTCTAAGCACATAAGGCCTCATCATTTAAGCAGGACCCATAGCTGGTGCTGGAGATTGAAGGGGCCTCCTGAAGTAAGACACTGACCTGTGAAGGACCCATTGTTTTGGGTCAAACTGCACCAGTGTGAAACCTAGAAGAAAACATAGCAACAACAAAAACCAGTTTGAACATCTGTGAGCTGCATCCAGCTCCTCATAAACAAGAGCTGTAACCTCATTGCCAAAGACTGAAAGAGCCCTAAGAGAGACCTGTTGTTCTACTTGCGCAGAAAACCTTATTCCCAGTTTCTCCATAGAAATAGCAGGAGTGGAGAAGTGTCATAGGAAGGGGACCAGGACACCAGCTGGTTCATCACAGGTCTGGTTTATTGAGGAAAGCATCAAACACTTATACAGCAAATAATAAGCTTATAAATAGTCTGTAAGCCAAGCAATCTATTGGTTAATCTATACCATTAACTCTTTCTCATTCCTCAGGGGTTACACCTCTCTTTTCTCATGTCTCTTTCACTGTTTGTTATCATACTATAGCTAGGCCCAAGGACACACTATCTTACAGGTGCAGGACTTGGAATTAGCCACGGCTTTGTACTTTTCCAGTCTCTAGTCAGCTAAATTCCCAACAGAGAAGGTCTGATGCTAACCAGCCCTGCCCCCAGGATCCCTGCCCACCCACTTGCTAGGGAGGCATTCAGTGGACTTCAGCCATCCATGGTGACTGAGTAAGTGAATCCAAAAAATTGCAGAAATAAACTCATGGTGTGCATAACTCAGGGTGCTAATGGTCAATGGCTGAGATGACCCAACTTCATGTACCTGCATATGGCTTGCAGCCTGGGTCACTCTCAGTGGCCTGTGTGCTTGGGGTGAGTCTTTTGCATGTTATTCATTCCCTGAAGCTGTGGAGGCACATGCTGAGAAGGACCTTGCTTCAGCCTTGGGCCATGAAGGCAGGTGTCATACTGCCACCTCTGCCACTGCCACAATGACCCAGGATGTGATGCCAGGATGTGTTTCACTAAGCAGGGATGTTGCTGAAGTGACTCTGGATTGACAGGCAATAGCTGTCCTTTCCCAAACAGAAATGCCACATGCTCCTGAAGGATTGGAGACTGCTGCTGAGATCCCTGGTGTTTAACATGACCTGCCTCAGTGACAGGTTCTCATCTAGCCTGTAGATGTGTGCTTCTCAAGGAGAAAATTACAGTCTGGGGAGGCACTCTGTGGGCTCAGTGTGTACAGGAAACAGCAAACAGAAGGCTGCGGTGTTGGAGAGGAGCATGGCACAGTTGCATGAGTCAGTCTGGTATCAGAGAATTAGTATTATGCACTACCCCCAACCTTAAGGACTGCTGATAATGCGCAGCAATGAAGTTTTATCTGTGCTCAAGTACATATTTTTTATGCAGCTAAAGCTCTGTCGCAGATGTTCTTCACTAGAATAGATTTTGCCTTAGCTAATCCTGTATTAATCTGTTGGTAGAGCTGGAGCTGTGTGATTGCCACCGGGCTCCTTGCAGGGAGGAGCCCCCGGTCGGTAAGGGCACGGTTCCCCGGCAGAGCTGCAGCCGGGGTTGGGGCTGCCTGTGCCGGGGAGCAGCACCCCGTCCCCTTCCCGTGCGGTGCTCTGCCAGGAGAGGGAGCTAGGACCCTGGCATTCAGGGCCCTTTGATGTTCGCTGCTCACAAACCATCAAGGTGTTACGGCTGTCCAACGCTGTCGTAGGCTTAGCTGTGTGGCTGAGTGCGTGTTCAGGTGGCTCAGGATTTTCTGTGGAAGCCACCTAGTGAAGAGGTGTTTGGTTCCTGCCAGCACTCAGAGGACTCTGGTGCTCTGAACTGTGTTTTGAGACTCTCAGTCCCTTTTATGGACTGCTTCACCAGGTGAACTCCAATGGGAGTTTGGGCTGGGTGAGAACAAAGTGAAGCCTACAGATTCTGGAATCATGCAGTAGGTTCCAAGCCACTGCTGCAGGGGAGAAGGAAACCAATGGGTGCATAGCAAGGCAAGCAACGGCTGGAAGGAGGGAAAATTTTTGGTTAAGGCTACCATGTGGCAAACAGATGTTGGACAACATTTCTTTTAACCTAAAAACACATCAGCCTTCTTCCCCCCGCAGTATATGTGTTTCATTTTGAACAAGTAACTGGCAGCTGGAGAAAGTTATTAGAAAATGCTTCATCTATATTCCAGCACTTGCAACAGCAGCAAAATTACCTATTTCCTATTCTGCCCAAGCTTTCTGTCTCCTTTCTTAGATATTGTTGGCCTCAAGTCAAGTTTTGCTTAAGTTATGTATCAGAAAGGGAATAAGTGGAGCTCTAACCTTGTTTAAAGTGTAGAAAAGGGAGTTTAAACAAAGCTGGCAGAGACACTGACTCAACTATTATCTAGGTTCTGGATATGGTTGGGCCTGCCGGTAAAAAAACCCAGGAAATAAGTGAGAAAACAACTCTTAAAAATGTGAAAACCAGCCAAATCTACAGGGCTCCACTCTGTGTTCAAAAGTCTGTAAGTGCTGATAAAGGAGCACACGTGACGTGAAAGTGCTGTGTCATTATCAGCGGCCCTTTCAGTCTTATTATCCTTTCAGTTTTCTCTGAGTTATGAATTCATGTCTGGCAAGGGGAGAGCATGCTAGTGAAATCTGGTAGTGTTTCCTACCTGATTTGAAAGTAAGAACAGAGCAGTTTGTTTGGGATAATTTGGAAGTTAGAAGAAGAGCTTCTCAGACAGGGCTGGGCTTTGTTAGCCAGGAAGGGGCCAAGCTAGAGAAAAAATTGTTGAATAAAGCACGGTGTGAGCAGACACTGGAAACAGTAAATAGTAAGGGAGGCTCCTTCCTAAGAAATGCATTTTACTGGCTCTGTATGAGTCAGAAAACCCCTGTGATCTGTTGCCCTCGGTGCACATTACCCTGTGGTCCAAGGGGGCGGCTTTGGCTGCTGGTGCTGGGAGGCACCGACAGGCACTGCAGAGCACTGGGAAAGAAGCTGCTCCCAGAGGGGGGGCCAGCAGCCACCAGGGTGCAGCAAGGGTTGGTAGCCAGGCCCCCGAATTTATGGCTCTGAATATTTCTATCTTCAGAAAGGGCTGTAACTGATAAGGATGAATGGTGTGGAGTTGTGCATGCAAGAGCTGTGGTTGTGACTTCCTATTTCTGTACCAGCCAACAAGTTATTATAAAAATAAATACCTCAATGGCAGCAGCAGCATCCCCAAGGGCCTATTTACTTCCACTGGCATGAACTAATTCCTGCAGAGGAGCTCAAGACAAATCCTGCAGAGACCAGTGGGAATCTCTCCAGGCTCTTGCAAAGGCAGTTTGCACACTGGAGAAAATGCTGGTGCTTGGTCATATTTATTGCCATGTCAGTTAAAACATGTTGTCAGTTAACACCTTCCCTAACACAACATATATTTTCTAAAGCTGAAGGAAAGTGAGCTTTTTTGCCTCCTTTTATTCTTCAGGTAGTTATTCTGATTTATTTCTGAAATTGCACAACACACTAAATGCTGGTTCATGAAGTGGCCAGGGATCAATTATTACCCTTTCATGTGCAAACTGGTCTTAAGGCATCTATCAATCTCTTATAGTCCTATCTACAGAAGATATGTTCAATTTCAGAAAACAGAAAACATATAAGGGGAGCTAAGGCAGGGTGACATTTGCTTTCCTTAGCTTGCTCTCTGGATGTTTGATGAGTGAGTTTATTATCTGTAGGAACAATGAACAAGCCAATACACTCTTTTCAAGGTTTACAGGTGCCTTAATGTAACTTGCTCATTTAATTTGGATCTATATCCTCCTGAGAAGGGCAGAAGATTTTCATTTTCAAGGCCTTATTTAGCCATAAAATGTGTATCCCATTAGCTAAGAGCAGATCTATGAATTTCATTTCATTTGGTGACAGGAGAAATAACAATGTATGTATCACCCTCTCAATAACTGCTATTAAAAGGTGTGTGTTTCATGAAGAAACAGTGTGTTCCATGTCATAACATCTTTCATGAAATATAATTCAGGGCATTTGTAGCATAGGTATTTGAAAAGTATCAGTTTGCTCTTATTTTAAGAGTCTGGAGAAAATACAAGCCTCTTTTGTGGCTGGAGCTGGCCACCTGAAAAATTAGGATGGATTTTGTTGGCTCCAACAAAGTCAGTAGGAGATTTTCTATGGCCTCAATGGGGCCAAAAATTCTCCTAGATCTCATGCTATTATAGATATTGTACAATTTAGCCACCAAGGTCATTAAAATGCTATAATCCCTCGTGTGAGACATGATGGGGTAAAAGCACTTACAAAGGTATTGCTTTCTAAACTGGTGTAATTATAGTGGTAATTCCCAGAGAAGTATTGCAAATGCATTTCCAGTTCCAGTTTCTCAATTTTTTGGTCAGTGTTCATTACAGTTGTGATATGCTTCTGTCTAAATCTTGTTGATGTCCTTCCAGAGGGCACTAAAAACCCTAAAGTAAGTAAAGAAAAATTTAGTTGATGATTTGACTGGCTTCTGAATTGCTGCCTTTTGAGCCCTGTGCCTCAGCTCATAATCTATAATGTTTGCTCTTATACTACACTGACTACTAGCTCCTTGTTTATATTCATCCCCTTACAGTTTGTCTAACTTAAAGACAATTAGGACAAAAAGAAGAAAATTGAAGTCCTTGCCACACCAAATGTGGATGCTTTGGACATTTTCAGTCCCTGGGAAGTTTGCAGCTGGGCAAAGCTGCCTGTGGGGCAATGGGGGCTGCTTTGGCTGGGCTCTGGTGACAGAGCGTGGGGCTCAGGCTCAGAGCAGATGTCTACCCCCCTGGCAGTGCAGAGAACAGGAAGCTTCTCAAGGCACCAAAGAAACACTGAGCTGTGAGCCCTCCTTTTCTGGTGTTAAGAAAGGAAAGGACATTAGGTCTCTGAATTATGGCAAAAAGGATTCAAACTGAGATAAACATGAGTCTTGCAAGGGATGAGAAGAGGGTCTGTTTCATGATGGAGATCCTCTCAAAAATATTGAAAATCAGCTAGAGGTAAGTAAAATGAAATTTTGTCTTTATGACAAGTGTGAAACATGATCTTAGGGCCCACTTATTTTTAACCTTGCAGTTACACCATATTCCTTAGTGGCTGGGGATGAGCCACAAAGGTGTTGGAAGCTCTGGTATTTTGCTTTTCCCAGGGCTTGAAATCAGTCTCATGTGCTGTACTTGGGTGATACATGAATTTCCATCTGCTCTGAAGATGTCTAGATGTGCATTTCTCTTTGCTTCATAAAGCCACCTCCTTTCTGCTGCTTAAATCAACTCTCAGATGTTATTTGAACAAAGAAATGCTGTTCTTTACGAAGAAAACCAGGAATAAGCCCAGGGTATTTATTCTTTTCCTTTGAGTGCTTCAGTCCTTTGACTAATGCTGACAGGATTTCTGTTCCTGGTGTACTGCTAGCTTCTTCGCGAGTGCTACCAAATAAATACATCAGTTTGGAAGATGATTTCTTACAACTGCCTGACAAATTGCAATGATGCTGTCAACTCATTCCTCACATGCTTTTATCAGACAGATACCAGACTAAAGACTAAATGAACAATATCTACTTTGATCAGATACAAGATTAAACATCAAATGAACAATACTTACTAGGCCTAGATTTGAAATGGTCCCTGGGTTCACTGTAGTTTTACATCTCCTCGTCAGCCCCTGGAGGTAGCCAGTCACCAACAGAAAACATTGCAACAAGGAGCTTTGTGTCTTCTAAGGTAGAAGGAAACCTGCAAATAATAACATTTCAATTACATAACCCCCTGAAAGCTGGTGGTGTCTCAAATAGATTGCCAGTTTGGACTTTCAGAAACCATGCAATTCCATGTTTCTTAAGAATGAAAAGTATACAACATTTACATCTCACAATTTCATACCCTCTTTTCTAGTAAATAAAGTCAGGAATTTCTATTTTTTCTTTAACAAGAATTTTGATGATGTTTAGTACACGTCTATAATACACAAACAGTCTATGAAATCCTTGTATACAGCTTTGTTGAAAGTTAAAGAGACATAGAGGTGAGTGGATATAACATTGGGCTGGGATTCACCATGCTCCCGCCTGGCTGGGAAAGACGCAGTTGCTCCATAAGGTTTTGGATTTTTTTGTGGGGATTTTTGCTTTTTGACTTGAGGTATTTTGGCTGGCATAGCTAAGAAGCCACCACATTCTAGGCCAGCATCTCCAGTATTTACCCAGCAGATGAGCAGTGCACAAATCAAGCCCTTTAAACAGACTTTATGAAGCAGAGGGCTGCCATATATTTCACTGATATAAAAGGGCTCACATCTCCCAGCTGGTGGCTTTGGTTACCATAATAAAAATTATAATAAAATTAGTGCCTGATATATTAAATAATTTTTTGTGATAAATAGCTTGATTAGTTCTATGAGAATGACAGAAAACTTGACAGGACATATAATCTACTGGGACAGCGGGAACTCTCTGTGGTTACTCATGTATCTACATAGGAAACAGGAAAGCAAGAAAATGTAGTGCTGCAAGCATATTCTAAACAGATCATTGTGCAGAAAAATTCTCCCATCACAGAAATCAAAAGGTTTATGACAGGGAGAGGCAGTGCCTGCTCTGCAGTGACAGATTCATGTTTATTTATTCTAGAAAGAATAAGAAGGAGATACTAAAGTAAAGACAGGATAATTTTATTCCCAGATCAAATAAAGGAACACAGAGTGTGTTCTCCACAAAGTGATTACTTTAGGGGGAACTAATACAATGAATGTTATTAAATTAAACAACTTTTTATAGGGCATCTCACATTAAGGATTTTAGTGTAAGTAATATTTCTGTCAGGCAAAATGATGCAAGACAAAATAGCTTTTATAGATGTATTCCTTAATACAGATATTCCTGTAAAAATGTATTTTATCTAGTATAGTTCCTCTGTAGGAAATTATCACTTTGCTTAGCAGCTCTGAGAAACAGGGATGTCAGCAGCAAGGATGCCTATTCTCCTTTCACTAGATGCCTGAAATCTCTGATTTTAAATTAGCTTTTAGGTGCTAGTATACATAAAGCTGAGGTAAATGTCTGCTCAGCACAGATAGCTGGGAGAAATCCTCAGCTCCATAGGAGCTGTCTTCAGTGCAAATCCCAGCACCTGCCTGTCTGCCCTTCCGTCGTGCGGGAAGCCTTGGGAGCGAACCCTCGCAGGGCTGAGCTCGAGGTGCAGCTAAGCTGAATTTTGTACAGAAACCATGCTTTTGTATAGAAACCATGCTTTTTTACAGAAACCATGCTTTTTTACAGAAACCATGCTTTCTCAGTGCATTCGCTCACACTGGCTGTGGCAATCAGAGCTAAGAATTGAGGACCTACTGCATCTTTTCCCATCCTGAAAATGGACATCCGTATATCACCACACTTGAAGACCCAGAGCTACGTTTTATTATCCTAGAATGTGAGAGGTCTCAAGGGGTAATTATGTAGAAAATGACTAAAACATCTTGCCTCAGGTGCAGAGTTCTGGAAAGCCATGTCTTCTCTCAGGGTCGTGAGAGTGAGATGAAAAAGCCTGACTGCATCATCTTGTATTGTTCCCTCCAGTGCCTTTGCTGGTAATTTATCAAATCTGTATTTATCTTAGCATTTATATATGGCTCCCATTGCACCACTTTGCAATATTCAATTCCTTTATTCTCACAAGGGCCCTATCTGGTATATTCTGCATCACATCTCATGCAGTCTTGAGGAGAAGGATCACAGCAACAGAAAATGACAGGAATGTAGCCCCTTTTACTTATTTGCTACCTCAACCTCTAAATTGTTGTTTGATGCTTACTAGATAGGGCTTCTGTCTCTCATGTGGGAAATGTGAAATGAGTACAAGGAAACTGAGTTTGTTTAGAAATATGAAGGGCTCAGATTATCCTCTATTCTCTGCTACTTTCTTCCAAAATATTGAGGAATTTTCAGGAACTAGAGAATTTACACATCCTGTCACTGCAATTATTTGGTCAAGGTCTATTGCTTTTATTATTCAGGAAATTTGACCACAAAATGCACATGTGCTTTTTTGTGCTGGGGTATAATTTTATTTTCTTAAGGCACTTGCTGAAACAAGACCTGCATGTTTTAACCCAACTTTGTGTTTTAATTCTTTTACTTTCTCAATAAAAATCTAAAATGCCCCCCCCCCGACATTCTACACAAAACAAAGAAGCAAAACCCAACAAATAAATAAATAACCAATCCCTCCAAACCTTTTGTTTTTCTTTGTATTGTGGATTTCTAAATGTTTTAAACCTTGCTCTGACCAAACATTACTGTCCCCAAGTTCTGAAATGACATCTTCAGTGGTCACATGTGGAGATATTGGAGATCTCTTCTCTAACCCAACTCTTCTCTGGGACAAGAGATTTTGAATCTCTGTGGTTTCTGAAGGATCAGATAATCCCAGAGAAAGGCTATTTGGGTTAGGTACAGAACCAAGAGCAAATTGTTGGGCAAGGCAGTGTCTGCCTATTTTCTTAATAATTCTTCCAAGGAGGGAAGCACAGCATGTGCTGTTAGCTATTTATGCTCATCCTGGCTTCACAGAGTCATGGATGGATGCAGGCAAGTGACATATGGAAAAACAGGACTCAATTCTACTGCTCCAGGAGAGCTTAAGTGGTAAAAGCAGTATCCAAGAACAATGGAGGATATATTTTGTATGGAAAATATATTTCTGATGGGCCTAGGCTCAATAATTAACCTTATAATTCCCCAGGTTTTTATTAGCAGAGCACACTACTTTCAGTCACAGCACTTACAGGGAATGTCAGACCCTGCTGTCAGAAACCACCTATGCTGACTTCAGTTTTTATTGGTCACTTGCACAAGCTATCAGCCAAAGTACAGTGGAACACAGATTATGAGAAAGTCTGCTAGAAGTCTTTCAAAAGTTAGAAAGTTACCTACAAATATGGAAAAGGAGGTGCAAGCTCTGGCACTTTCATGTCTAACCCTCAAAAAGCTATTGTCTCCCTGTTGATTTGATAGTAATTCAAGTTTTGAATAATACATTGGGAAGACTGTGATCTTGAGGACTTGTTACAGACATTTTCTCAACAGTCCTAATCCAGACTGGAGGCTGGAGGCTTTGGCTACAGGCTAATTGTTGATTCTTGTTTACCCTCTGGGCACTTTTCACAGTTCTGGCAGAAAAAAAGCCTTGAAGTGTTTGTAAAATATGGAATACATTTGCATTGTAGCAAATGAGAAACGAGTCCCAAAGTCTTAATGCTAACGTTGGTATGAATGTAAATTTAATAGACCTGCAGTTTTTTCTTAACAGCCCTCATACCTTCTCTTTGTGATTCACAAGAGAAAACAGCCCTTCAATAAAAAATATTTTAACCTTAGAACCATGGAAAGAAGTATTATCATTCTGTGGAAGAAAGAACATAAATTCAGTGTTATTTTCCATTTGTTTTCGTTTTACTTTTCACTCATAACAATCTAAGCCTTCCCATCACTCCTGCTATTAACATATGGAAAAGTTCAACTGCAGAATTTGCCCCAGTCACGAGGTTCTCTGACTTGTTCTAAACCACGAATGTAAATGCCCAGATGCAAAGAGGTATCATTCTTTCATTTATGAATGCACATTTGTGAATTTCTGGGGTACTGAGCTGCCTCTGACTACATATTTTGAGATAAGGACAAGTGCTGATGAGACTTAAACCATTCCCTTGGCAGCCTTTGTATTAAAGGGTTTGCAATGCACATAAATGCTTTTATTATAAATAAATGCACAAAAAAGTGTATTAAAAATGTCTCTAATGTCACATATTGATTTCACATCTTGTGTCTTGTTTGAACTCAAATTTAAATCTGGCAAGTGAAACTGGATAAAACATTTCTCACCAGCTTTTTAGTTTGAGAGAGATTATTTAATTTACTTTGCTGGAATTTTCTCACTGACAAACCTGAATGAGTACAACTGAAAATGACAGACTACCAAATAGCCAGTGAAAATTTATTCATGCCAAGTAAAGAATGGACATAAAGAATTTATTAGCAGGCTTAAGGGCAGGCATTCTCCAGTCTCATTTTTAAAGTTCATTTCTCAATCAAGGCAAATAATAATGAAAAGAAATTAAAAAATATATTTAAAGTTTGCTAAGTTCCTGCAGGTACAACATGCAAGTAATTTAGCTTTCTCAGCACTTCAAGATGTTTGAAAACTGACTATAAAGGAAGCTAGACACCCAATTTGCAATGGAAATATATAAGATGATGAATTGGATTTAATGGTCTCCAGTAAATCATAACATTAATGCTATTGCATGATACTTCACCTTAGCACCAGATTAAAAAAAATCTGTCTCAAGCTGAAAAACATATGCTCTAAACCCTCCAAGTCTGAGAAAAGAGCCAATTACTATGAGATCTGTAAGCATATTAAGCACATCTGACTTTTGGTTTCAGTACAGATATGAAACATGGATGAAATATCCTTAAAAATTTTACTCTTTAAAATTTAATATAGGAATTTGCAGGACTCATAGACCTTTATATATTAGCATGTTTGTTGTCACAGTTTTAAAAAGAATTGAAGAGTACGTCTGGTTTTGGGATGAAGAAACATAACCAATTTCACAAATCTCTTTTATCAAGACATCAATCCAGAAGAAAGAGCAGAAGCAGAAAACACAACTATCACAGAGACAAATAATTAAAAAAAGGTATGAACTGTGAATCTTGGATTATAACCAA